GACGTACAACATCATTATTACTCTTGAATTTTATGATGTTTTGATATACTCCCCACTTCTTTTTCTCAGAAGATTGTTTTCCCTTAGTCTGAAAAATCTTTACATTTTGTGTTTTGATTGGCAGCACATTTGCTGTTGTTCAAGGTGATACCGTTTGAATCCGCCCTGTTTATTAAAATCAGCAGATTAACAAATCTGCTTAACAACGTTTACGTAAAACTTAAACCCTATCGGTGTGTGGGTTAGCAAGCAGAAATTGTTTCCATAATTCCTTTTCTGACGATGCCGAGTCGTTCCTCAGGACTAGTTGCTGTCCAGAGCGTCCAATCGATATAATTACCTGTTTTCTCCTCTAGGGAGTATTAGACGACTTAATACCAGTCAATTACATTGTTGTGGTTGTCTGTACTCGGCGGGAACCACTGATCTGATCAAAACAATAACCAATCAGAATGCAGTCGGAAAAACGCAGACACTGATTCTTGCTGTTTTCCACTGAACAGTACGTTTTCATCAATGGATGATTTTAATACAAGACAGAGTAGTTCTAAGGGTAATTTAGTGTTACAACTGAATTGATAACGTAAATTGGCTACCGTAAAGAGATACAAAGCCGACTTTTCGAGCGTTAGCCCTTCGTCAATCGCTCTGACGAAGGGCTAACGTTCGAAACGTCAGCTTTGTATCTCTTTACGGTGGCCAATTTACGCTATCAAGTCAGTTGATGATACTAAATTACCCTATACTCTCGCACCGACGCAGCAACGCAGTTTCTTTAGAAACTTACCCTCTTTATTCAGAGTGCTTCTCAGTTGTTTTCTGTTCCTCAGCTTCCTTCTTTGATGAAACGCACAGTCAAAATCCTACCAATTTTTATCAGGCTCTGCAGCTTATGCTCTTTTGCTATTCCATGTTAGAGGTGATTTCCTCTAAACTAACACGAGTATGAAATTTTTTTTGTGAACGGTGACACTCGACCGTGAAAGTAATGTCTAACCTAAACTATTACAACAATGGAACGTCGACTGGTACCTACGTGTCACCCTGAAAAAGACCAAATTTATTGTCCCACGCTGCCACCTCTTCATGCATAAATTATGTGTTTGGAATTAATATTTCAGCTACATGCACGTTTAACCTACTTTTAAGTCGCCTGAGGCTAAGGATTCAACTGAGGGCAGGTAACAACAAAATCGAAAACGGTAAAGTACAAACTTAATTGTGTTGTCCCCAAGTTGTAATTTTCTTCCCAGAGTAATGGAGCTCAAATTTAATGGGATTTTAACAACGGTTTATAAAAGTTAGGTTAACGGTAAATACTATTTTCTCAATTGGACAGTCAAATATGTCAACAGACAAGGTGCACACCGACAACATTAGTTAAAAAGGAATTTTCAGGTAACTAAGAATTAGTAACATTTAAATGTTGTCAAAATTTCCCACATGTGGGGGGTCAGGTCATTAATGTAACATTTGCTTTCTCTCTGTTTCTTGACTTTTCGTGATGTTCGAAGCCTTCTAGTGCAACTAATTTTATGTTAAGACACAGAGTAAAATCGCTGCAGTCTCGTCATATTCCTCATTTTCAGAACTTGTTCTTTCACTCGACAGGTTAAAGGGGTACTAACAACTTCCTGCACCAGAATTTTTCCGAAACTTACCTTCGCTTACACTTGAGTCGTTGAAGAAAAAAAAAGAAAAGAACAAAAAGGAAAACAAAAAATAAAAGAAAAATTTGATCATATTGTACCTACGCATCACCTGCTCTCAGTTTTAAATTTTAAGTTTCATCAAAAATTTCATATATCTGTCTTCTCTCGTGGGTTTAGTTTCTAAAGAAACTGTGGTGCTGCGTCGATTGGGGAGTATAAAAAGATAATTTGGTTTTATCAACTAAGTTAATAACGTGAATTGACCACCGTAAAAAAAGTTTCTAAGCTGGCGTTTCGAGCGTTAGCCCTTTCGCTCTGACGCGTGACGGCACTTCCTGACCTACGTTCGGTTTAAATCGTATCTCCCCATGTTCGCTTCAAACAAAAATTTTGAAAATAATATTCTGTGATCCTGATCTTTGCATCTAAAGAATTTCTACCTTCTTCTTCAGATGTTACTGCAGATTGTAATTTTTGGCTGGTTATTCTTCATAGCAAGTGAGTCACCGAACGTATCATAACATCAACCCCATCAGCGACACCCTCGTGCATGCTAGTCTAGCTTTGACGGAAAAGTTTCCAGCAGATTTGTTTTCAGTTTTAGCCCGGAGTTCGTTCATGTAATAGAACAAACGGTAGAATGTGGAGGTTTATTTATCGTTTTTACTTGTTTCTTTGTTTGACCCAAGTGAGTCATCTGACACACTCGTCAGCGGTACCAACTTAAGGCATATTTAGCTCATGCGCAGAGCCATATAATACACGCAAAGCCAGTCATGACCAGCTGTTGCGTCCTTGTCAGGACTCATGTTTATAGCAAAACCGTCAGTATTTGCCCATTACTACTGCGACGGTTGCGAGGCTCTCAAATTGCACCAGTTCCGTCCAAACAATGCAGGTGGTTTCTGTGTGTTGGGTAGCTGTCACTGCCGTCATATAGTGCAGGGTGAGTAACTAATGGGGGCGGGGGAGAGGGAGGCTAATCCTCGCATTTTCATGATCCAACCTTTATGAAATGTCAAGTCAACAACGAGAGAATATCAGGTGGGGAAAAAGCGCGAATCCGAAGAATTCACAACTCGGCGCTCAACAACAAAATTTCTCATTTGATGTAACATTGCAGGAATATTGACATGAAATTCAGATTGGTTCCCTGGGTGTGACCCGTTGAAACCTTACCCCACCCCTTTGAAGAATCCCTGCCACGCCCCTGCCCTTGCTATGCCTCTCCAGTGACTGGAATCAGTTTACAGCACTAACTTAGCTTTGTTCTACGGCTGACAACTAAAAGAGAATATAACAACAATTTTGATCCATAGGAGCAGAATTTAAATGCCACGAGAAAATAGACATGGTTATTCTGCTTGATAGCTCTGGAAGTGTGTCAGAAGAAGTATTTGGAAAGACCAAGAAATTCGCAAGAGATCTTGTTAAACTCTTTGATATTTCAAAAGAAAAGACAAACGTGGCCATCTTAACGTACAGCCAATACGTTCGAGTATTGAGGAGATTCGACGATGAAGTTTCAATAGAATCCGTCTTGAGAGCTATAGATAGAGCCAGATATGAAGCGTCGTTCTCTAGACTGGATTCTGCACTTGAAAATGTCCGGTATAAAATCTTCAAGAAGGAGCAGGGAGCAAGGTCCTCTTCAAAAGGTATGAGAAGGACATGACATGTGCTGTGTCAACCAATTTGCAAACTATAATCGGGTGGTGTATGATAGATGTAAAGATAGGACGCTGGTGAGGGCGCTTGCTTTGCACCGACATAGTACACGCATGATCAATTTGATCCAGTCTGAAGTTTAAAAACGATCTTCCACACCATTCACCAGTTTAGATTTCAAAATCTGGATCAATGTCAGTATCTTAACAACTGTACACCACCCCTAACCCAACAACAAGCAACTCATAACAAGATAGGTTTAATGTGAGGGGAGGGGAGGGGTAGGTGTGCAATTGCTCACGTACTGACATTGATACCAAAATCTTTTGTCGAATTGTGGGGATCACTCAGGACATTACCACATCTTAAAATGGAAAAATGTCGGTCCTCGTGGTGTCATGTTAATAAACTTTAAACCTCCCAGGAGTTACGTAACCCAGAACTATCAAGGAATCTATTAATATTCGTTTCCGTTCAAAACCGCGTGTGTTGGAATTTTCTTGTCAGTTACAGTTTATTCGTTGTGTATTAAAGGTCTTTTCTTAAAGCGGAGTCGTTTCGCGTTTGAAGAACACAACAGTGGGGCCTGAAATAAAACAATCTGATTGGTTGATTGTAGATTATCACTGACTATTATCATTCTTTAAACTCCTCAATCCTTTGTTGGCTTTACAGGTGTTAAGAAAGTTCTCGTGGATGTGACAGACGGTTTTAGTTCACTGGGAGTCGAATTCACAAAGAAGTTAGCCGGCTCTCTCAAGAGAACTGGCCTCGAGTTATTCTCGGTAGGAACCTCTGATCTCCAGTACAAAAGTGAAATTGAAGTACTAGTTAGTAAGCCGAGCAAATCTCATGAACTCTTCAGAGACCTTAGGAAGAGTTATTTTAAGAAAGATGAAATAGAGCAGTTTGCGAGAGACATTTGTAAAAAGGAATGAAAAGAAGTACTTTTGAACAAACATATAACTTGACAAGAAATAAATGATTGATCAGTGTTCAAATGTGTCAGTGCCTCGCCAGGATGGTTTCAGGACTTTTGTGTTCTAGTTCTGATCGGGTACCCTTGCGTACAACATTTGATTATCTCAGTGTCCCCCCAGAACTGACTATTTTTTCTTGTGAAAAAGTTTCTTGAAGTCATAATAGTTGGCCTTTGGCCACGAAATAAATTCTTTACTGACCAACTTCTTTCAGTTTACTAAAGATGGCTGATTCAAGTTGACGCTTTCCTTTCGGTATGCCTAAGACTTCCAAGTTATTACATTTAAAAAAAAACTCAAAAAATAAGAAGTATGTAGACATACCCATAAAACAAAGTGAAACAGAAGTGCAATTAAGCTTATAAATCCACTCTACCCAATGAATTATATCATTACGTGATGGGCTCCTGATTATATGCATTTCAGCAAAATTCATTGCTGCTATTGTGCTTTCTCCAGGGGCGAGACTCGTTCAGGCCGTGTTGACACCTGGGAATGCATGCGGAAGTTGTTTAGATTTACTGATGAAATGGATTTCAATTTTTTCAGAACGACAGAAACATAACATTTATTTCTGTCAAATATTCTTTCAGCGTTTTACATATGTTTCCATGGTAACAAATGCTATATGCGCGGATACTAAGCGCCAGAAATACATATAATATACCCATAATGCCTTTCGGTGATGTCTTAAGAGAACTCCCCCGTCTATCACTACACCGGGTAAAATTCCTTGAACCGAAAATAGAAATTGTACCCATAATTCTCCAAATGTAGACTACATTTTCGCTAGTATTTTAAAATCTTCTGGCTTTCTTTTTATTTTGGAATCACCATGAGTAAGTAGCACTTTTCTCGAGGCCTTGCATCTCGCTCAATCTTTTTGTTGTTGTTGGGGACTAAATATGATCTCATTTGTCTGAAGGTCGGAAAGCACGCGTTACTTTTAGCTACAAGCCCGAACAGGAAGATGAACTAACCTTGGAAGTTGGAGACATCATTACTAATATAACTGATGTGGACGTTGGTTGGTGTGAGGGAGAATTGAACGGAAAGAGGGGAATGTTTCCAGATAATTTCGTCGAGGAGTTCAGCACGCCTGGCGAGGAAGTAGCAAATGCTGCACCACTTCCGAGCTCCAATTCTAAAACAGGTCAGGTGAAACATGAACTAAGAGTAAGAGAACGTTTCCTTATAGATTATCGAATCTTTTTATTGGAAAAAAAAAACGTAATTCAGGTTTGGCGGGATTTATTTCATGACAAGCTGTTTCGCATAGTTCTCAAATATCGATTTCATTTAATTCGCATTTGCATATGACTGCAAGTTTATTTGAAGTTGAATAATCTTTCTAACTAAATTTTCGTGAGTTCAGTAGCCCTGAGTTTTTCAGTTTTAGTTAGAGCTATGTTATACTGAATTAACAAATGGCTTTTAATTTTGCTTATAAATGTCCCCATAACAAAAATCTCGCGTTCTTCCTGTTTGTGAAGAGCTCTACGAAATACTAGTTTCGATTTATTATTCTCTCTTGAAGCTTGTTTACCTCATTTGTTAAAATTGAATAGCGTTTTCAATTTGGACCTATCTGTTTGCTCTTTAATGTATACTTTGAACTTTCCACTTCGGCTGACATGCATGAATATTACAAGGATATTTTTGTGTGGTATTCGAAACTCTTCCTTAACTGATGTCTACTTTCAATTTATGAGGTTTTCTGATCGCTTTCGAAAGGAGGTTTCTGTGTTAATTAGACATTTTCCTCTAACGGTTAACCCTTCCAAAGTGAAACTATCAATTTAACAAAAAGATGAACTGATCAGTGGCAACTTTGGAATTTGAAGTAAGAGAACAGAGCAGTCACATGAAGGGAAGATAATGTGTCTGTAATGAACCTGCCATAATTCAGTATGTTCTGTTATCAGTTACCAGTTTTCTCTGGAAAAGATTAGATGGTTCCAATAAGATTGGCTTTTATTGCTCTTTTAGCTATGATCTTAGCAGGTGGGCTGCAGTTTCAGTATCTGCAGTAAAGATGGGATTTGAAATCAAGCTTCTCAGATACCAGCAGTCAAGATTGAGGAGCCAGGCTTGTTTCTTCCAACATCATACCACCTGTAGAGACCTGGGGCAAATGATTGGGTGTGAGGAAAATGGAGGTTCTGATTCCAAGAAAAAGTTCACTTGATTGCCAGTCAAGAAACCTTTCTCTTTTAGACTGTTTTCTTTTCCTTTGGTCTGATTATTTGCCCCTGGGTTTTTTCTTTGTGAATTTTACTTTACTAAAGTATGTTTTGTTAAAAATTTTCTTGAAATTGCTTATTGTAGGAAAGAAGGCCAAAGTAGCATTTGATTATGAGGCACAAGATGCTGATGAATTGACATTACATATGGGAGATGTTGTGGATTTTATGGAGGAAGTAGAAGAAGGCTGGTGGAAAGGCAAATTGCATGGAAAAGTTGGTGTCTTTCCATCTAATTTTGTTGAAATGATTGAGGAAGAGGACACCAATCCAAACCAAGACAAGCCAGCACAGATAAAAAGTAATTCACAATTATTTGACATATTACATGTGCATGTATACTCTGGACAGCCAGTTGTTGTATTGTATCAAAATATTACTTAATTTTTGCACCTGAAACTAAATTAGTTTTATACAGGTGTGTATATTAATTTTTGCATTTATCTGCTCAAAAATGCCTGAATTCAACTACAGTCCACTCCCTGGGTTAAATGTGTTAAAAAATCCCTAATGTTTTTTTTTCCCGAGGTTCTCAATAAATAGAAAAACATCTCTCTTTATGTCATGACCAAGTTTGAAATTTTACCATTTCTCCTATTCCATTCACTCAAGTGAAGCCTGCAATTTTTACCAATCCTGACAGTATGTGGAATGAGTATCATACATGAATCTGTTAATTGCTTAGTTTATCATAGGATTTCTGTGGCTCTGCCTTAGAGCCTCAAAGCAAGAAACCTGAGGGTCTGAGATTTGATTCCTAGTGAGGGCTCAGAATTTTTTCTTTGTTTCATGCTTATGACAAAATGAAAAAACTTCTTTCTCTAGGTCCTCCGGTAATTTCATACAAGTACAGTACACTTGTTGATTGATCTACTGATTTTAAAAATAGAGTGTGTACAAAACCATGCCATCCTCAATAACAGCAATGCCATAACTTGTGAAGAGAACTTGAGTTGGTGGCTTGATAGTGTCCACACAATACATTTCCTTTAAAACTATTGGGTAATTTTTATTGATTTTCATTCATTTCAGCTGAAAAAGAGCCAACTGTCAGTCATGGTCGGTTAGGAGTTGCAGTACTCGAGGATCATGATGCTGGTATCAATAAAAGACATTCTGGTGTAGAAAAGGCTAAGCAGTTGCCTGGAGGGGGTATGGGATTTGGTAACCTCGTTAACCCCGACATTCTTGCTAAGAAACTCAAGAAAGTCCATCATGATGAAAAGAAGGAGAAAAAAGACAAACTTGAAGATAAAAATGTTCCTGCTGAACCAAGCAAGACTGCTGCCACTGCAAAGGCACCTTTGGTATGACTTTATAAATTTTCTCTCTAAGTCTCTAGGCCTTTATCTTCCGAATGCCATGAAGACACAAATTTATAGACCTTGGTCTTGTATTATGTTTCTTATGAGAGTCAAAAATTATATTGATGATATTTGGCCAATGGACGATGAAAGGCACAATTAATGTTTACTTGCAGATTTACTAAGGTTAAAGTGATATTTACCTCTCATGGTTAGGAAAATTTAGCAAAACTGGTGGGAAAAAAAAAGATATTTTTGAGGACATAAAGATCACTTCATGGCATTGTTTTGTCCTCAAGTTCAAAATCATTTGCACCGACCAGAATCATAAATTTGCATGACTGTATACCTTGAATGTGTTGCAAGGAGAAATTCTATAAACAGGATTCGGTGTGATGTCAGCACAGAATTTACAGTTTTTGTCCATTTAGAATCAAGACTTCAAAATTTGTTTAAGTGTTGATACTTGACTGGACTTATTGTAACTTACAGGGGTTTTAGTTTTAGGTAAGCAATAAACAACACTATTCAGCATAAAATCCAGTGATATAATCTTTTACAGGGTGTCAAATCAAGGCCTGCACCCCCTGTTCCATCCACTCCTCCAATTGTTCAACCAGGTATATTTTTTGCATTGTTCACCCTTTATACCCTTATATCAGTATGCATATTCTCCATACTGTTCTCTATACATTTCATATGGTACCTACATGGAGAATTTGTCTTGAACAGTTAAGAGCTTCTTTGGTAGGTGGTCTTTCCTTTGTTCTCATGACCTTTATTAATTAATGTTTCATCAGATATGATACTGTAAGCATAAATTAAATGCTGGTCACTCGTAGGGGCTAAAGCTCAAGAGCCATGTTAACCATTTACGCTATGATATGGCAAGAAAGAGCTAGTTTTAATACTGCTGTTTCATCTACCATCTAGTAGATCTGGTTCACGCAAGTGTGTTTGTGCTAATCTTACGTTTTTTTTTTTAGCCAAGAAACCGACTGAACGTGCAAAAGTCATGTTTGATTATGAGCCTGAAAATCCTGATGAACTTAAATTAACAGAAGGAGATATTGTCGTTGTTACGAACCAAAACATTCCTGACACAGAGGGCTGGTGGGAAGGAGAGCTAAATGGAATAACTGGTGTCTTCCCTTCTAACTTTGTTGATCTGCTACCAGTAGGTGCAGAAGAAGTTTTATCAAAGGTATTGGGGTTTTTTTTTCTTAGCACATTATTTTATTGTGCTCTAAGATTAAATTGTGCTTCAATCCTTCACCAAAATCTTGGCAAAGTTCAGACAAAAGATTTGAAAAATGAATACATGTAGCCAACAGTACCTTGCAACCCTTTTGCAATGTTGGTTAGCACCCTGGAAACAGAGAGAAAATTGTAGCTGGTTTAAAAGTCACTAATACAGTGTAGGAGTGGGGTGCATCCATCTTGGAATTCTTCTATGAGAAATAGGATTTTCACAACAGATAAGCACATTTTGCTAGATTTGGGCATAGTGGTGTGGGTGTTCCAATGGTGTTTAACCAGGATCATACAGCTGTACACTTTAAGAAGGTTTCAGTCCACCAATTACTCTAGTTTCTTGTGCCTATGGTTGCATGAAATTGCACAAAGTTTATTGAAATTTAAATTTAGTTATGTTTTGTCTTTTGGTGACTTGGTGCACTCAATATTTCTCTAGTTTCAAATATCCTTCTCTCCTCAAAAGTGTGAAACTCATGATAATAAGAATGAATACAATACTGTTTGATATTGTTGAGCACTCCTATCATTAGCTGATAATATTAGTTGAACTTTACTTAGTTTTTACTTCCTCCAGAGTGACTGAGCTGCCATTAGAAAAGTTGCTGGCTGGAATTTTACAAAAGGGATCTCAATATTTGTATGTCAGAGAGAAAAAAAAGGGTTTATCTGGAGGTTCTACTGTGTTGTACATATGAACACTGACACTGCTATTGCCTTATTACCAGGCTCCTGCTCCTGCTCCTGCTCCTGCCCCACCTCAGACTCACAAGAAAAGTGTTCCAGTTTTGCCTATGAAAGATGAACTGAAAAAATCTCCAAGTAAGTATTGTGGCCTCTGTTGCACTCCTTTTTGTAATAAATTGGGATACTTTGACAAAGGCAGCAACTCAACATCATTTTGGCCCTCCTGCTCTTTCAATGTTTTTTTTCTCTCGGCACATTTGCACCCCTTGTGTTGTAAATCCATGTGGAAAGGATTAGGGGAATTTAATTTGTTCACGCACCTGTTGTATAAATTATGTAACAATACTGTCTTTGTACTTGTATCAAAGTTGCCTGCAGATACAGGTAGTGATTTCAGCCTTTGGGACCACTATTTTTGGATCTCTGCATCTGCAGATATTTTCTAAAGCCAACTTTATACGCTTGAAACCTGTTTGAGGAGGTAGCTTAGCAAAGTGGTTTGAGGAGATCAATCCATAGGCTGCACTCCTTAAATAGCCAATGTTCTGCCTTGGGCAGGATAACATTTTTAACCATTTTGCGGTTATTTATACATACATTTTAAATATTGTTCATTTATGTTGGCCCCAAAATGCCCCATGGAAGCTTGGGAATAATTGATTCAAATACGTGTTGCACAACCCTTGAGCTGTTAATAATAGATTTGTTAGCTCATTCACTTCTCTGTTTTTGATAGTGTACCTGTATCTCTCTACTCAAATCCACTCAGATGTGGTGGACTATCAGTTTAGTGCACTATGACCCCAATTGCTGCTCTGTGCAACTTTTGTGTGATGAATTACAAATCAAATCCTGACAAATTTCCTTCCTTTGGTTTAACTTTTTGTTAACCCTTCACTCCCAAGATATCATTATTTGTTCTCCTTACTGTCTGCCATATCATTCTCACTGTGTTTGTTCAGAGAATTTGGTAGTGGATCAACTGAATCATGCCCTCATGATATTTTTCTCTATTCTCATCACTTGTTTGCTTGATATTAAATTGATATAATTATAAGGAGAAATTCTGTCTTGGTTACTCATGGGAGTTTAAGGGTTAACTTTTGGATTGTGCAGTTATGACTTGCGCCATGTTTATTTCATTTTGTTAAGAACTATCAAGGAAACATTCCCCTCCTGTGTCTCCTAAAGAAGAATCAAATGCTGATGCTATCCCAGAAGTCAAGAAACCTGTCAAGGATACAAGTGGGGAGCCCCCAGCTCCAGCGCCAGCCAAACCAAAGCCACCGGTGGCAGGTCAGAAGCCTGTTTTACCACCCAAGAAACCTTTACCAATCCATAAGAAACCTACCACTAAAGGTATAGCAAAGAAGCCTGAGAAGAAAGCTGAGATTGAAAATAGTAGTGTTACTAAGAGTACTGAGGAAATGAAGGATCTTGTTGATGGCCTTTCGGCAGAGAAGCTACTATCACAGGAAGAAGGGATCAGTAAACCTCCTGAGATCAAGATGGAAAATGTAGAAGGTGACCTCCTTGTTTTGATGATAGTTTAAGTTAATTTAGCCTACATAAAGTGTTCCTAAGTGAAGGGACTACTCTAAGTAAGTACATGTACACATATATGGCAGTGTAGTTTATGCCATGTACACAAAAAGCAGTCCAACCATTGAGTAGTTAACTATGAAGTTTTTTTTTTGTGAGATTTAAAGTGGGTGTTTTTTTGCTGAAAAGGTGGTGTTGTTAAGTATTAGTTTTGATTGTTGTAGCTTATCTTCTTGTATACATCTTAAGTTGATGACAGAAGCTGATGGCAAACACTGCAAAATACTGTAATGTGTGAAGTTTGCTTTTTGCATACTATGAGATGCAACCCTATTAAAGACAAATTTCTACCAAATAGCAGTTCGATCAAAATAACAGTACTATAAGATATGAGTTGCAAGAAGTGCTGCATATAAATGTAAACCTGTATGCATTTATTCATTACTGTTCTTTGCAATTTCAAGACCTTGCAGCTTTATGTTAAACATTTCTACTTTTATGCAGCCAAATCACTGGTATATCCAGCGACTGCTCAGAGGCATCAGTCTTTTAACAGGTGTTGAATTAGCAAAAAGTTGAATTGGTGGCTTTTAAGAGTGGTAACATAATGATGGCCAATTAAACCTTGTTGGGTACAACGTCATGAGGAAATTTTGGTTGTTCAAAATGACTCTTTGTTTCATTGCAGAAGGAGTGTCCTTAGATGACATCCCAGCCACAGAGACATTAAATCACCTGACTGCCAACCGAGCAAAGAATCTGCAGAAGAGGCCACCATCCAAGGTTTAGCAAGTCCTTCTTTGTTGAAATAATATTATTTTGATTATCAGTTTTTTGCTGGAAGTACTTGTACTGTAGCAAAGCCAAGTGGTTAAATTTGTGACCTGCAAATTGTTAATTCGAGCTCTGAACCAGCTACAGTATAGCCAACTAAATTACTTTTTGCCTATATGGATCTTGTTGATCTTCTTAATCGTGAAAGCCTTTGCACAATGATTAACATCACTGTTAGTAAACGTTGGAATGTTTTTCAATAATTAATGCCTGGGGCTGAGCAAACTGTTGTGATCTTTCACTTGCGAACTCACTGAGAATGGCTCTCTCCTCAGCACTTATTTATTAAGACATTTGCCAAGAACTTATTCAAATAAGTTTTCTTTAGCGTTGTTTATCTTGCTGACTTTCCTCCTGCTTTTTAGTTGGGAGCAGTTACTTATCACTCTCCTAAGCTCTTTGGATTTTGTTAATTATGTGTATACTACCAGCAGTTTTGATATAGATCTGATGAAAACGTTTAAACTACAGTGTACTTTTGTTGTAGGAAGGACGAACGGACTCAGCTCGCTTAAGTGGAGGCTTACTAGAAGAGCAAATAGCGGTAGGTTGTTATGTTTATTCCTGTTGGGGGGAGGGGGCGGGGGTTAGATTTGTGAAACCAAATTAAGCAATCACGGAAGCCAGACGAAAGAAAGGTTAACATTGCAAGAAGCCAGTAAAAATTTGAACGATTTTGTTTCCTAGGAAACTAACAAACAGCCTCCAGAGCGTCCTAAAGAACCGCCTAGAGAACCATCCTGGAAAAAAGAAGTCAGGGAAGCTCGGGAAAAGAAACAGGTTGCAGAAGAAAAGGTAAGGGTAATCGGTAAAAAATTTTGTTAGACTTCTGTTTCAGTTATCGTAGTTGTTGCTTTTGTTGTGTGAGGCTCAAAATGGCGAAAGTTTAGCAGTAACCGAAAATCAAACAAAAAGGAAGGCACTCGCAAAAAGCTTTTGATAAAGTAAACAACTGTCTATTTTTTATTTTAAGCCACCTCCTTTGCGGTCTTCCAAAACGGAGGCACTAGAGAAACGAAAATCTCTAAAAGAAGAAGTGCCCGTACCACCAGTCCAAAAAGTTGAGCCTTTTACAACAGCGTCAGGTGAGGTGGAGAAGCTGCGAAAGGAGATTGTGGAGCTACGAGAGATGATGGCTAATATGGATAAGAAACATGACGATGCTATCAAGAGAATGGAGGAAAAGTTTACCCTGGAAATAGAAGGACTCATAAATGACTTTGATGAAGAAAGGAAACACAATGCAGCGCTCAAGGTGGAATTAGACAGAATTAAAAGGCGTAATGCTCGCCATGATACTGGAACCTCAGCTTGACTGAAGAGAACACAGGATCTTTTCATTTTTTTTTTTTTTTTTCCGCTGCAAAGGTAAATTGATACTAGTGTAGATGCGAGGAAAAAGATAGAGGAAAAAGGTGGTAGGACATATAACTCATAAGTTTATTGAACAGAAATAACCAATGCAAGTCACTAACAGAACAGTAATTCGCCACAAATTCCACAGGAGAAGCTGTGATGATACTACCGACACTTGGTGGTACATACTTACATACATGTGATAACCACGGTTTCGAGTCAGGAGTTAGTTCAGTCACACACGACTGCAATTCGATTTAACAATGATAATTATTTTTAACAGCCATGCATACTTACCTTTCAGTCAATAACACTTTGGCAAGGTACAAAAATCATGAAATACGACAATAAACAGGAAAGGAAATTGGAAAGAATTGCAAATGAAAAACATGAATGATAAAAGCTTGATTTTGCGTTATGCGTTTTCCCCATGTCATCGGTCACCTGAAGTCACCACTCTGTGTCTTTATAACAACTGAAAACTAAAAAGACCCTAGTAAGAGAGGAGAAGTATCAGAGCCGTGGAAAAAATGATTTGATCACATATCATTATTTTTTTTTACAATTGATATGGAGTGCAAATCTTTAAGCTTCATTTGTCTTCAATATGTACAGATTTGCTGAGTCAGGTGCTTTTGTTACTGCCTGTCTTCAAACTTTGTAACCTGTACAGCTTTTTTTGAAAAGAGATCAGAGGTTCAACAGTAACATTTTCTTTCTCTCTCTTTTTTTTTTTTTAATCAAATCAATGTACAAGCATTGTTAACATATATCCTATTAATGTTTCTTGGGATAACTATTTTTGTCCGATGGTGTTTTACGACAGTGTCTTCTATAACTAATAGAGGAAAAAGGTGGAAGGACATATAACTCATAAATTTATTGATCAGAAATAAGACGTTCTTGTCATAAACTGTAATGATCATGTGTGAATAGGTTAATTTGTAGCTTTTAACACCTATGTATCTCCTAATGATTTCTTCTTCACCTAAATCATGGCTGCATCTGTGAAGGGTATTTAAAGGACTATTGGATCTGGAAAGCAGTAACACGTTTGCTTCAACGAAGTTTTGGGTTACTAATCAAGGGAAGGGGGTAAAAAATGTTCACAAAAAAATAATTAAGTTCGTTTTTCTTTATTCAGGGTTATATCAGAGTAAAGAATGGTCTAAAAAACAGGAAAACATTATGAACAGTTAGAGTAGATTGTCATTCTCCAAGTACGATTTGTTTGGTTACTCTCAATAGAAAACAGTACATCATAAAATAAAAAAATCTGTGAAAAGGATTTCCTTTTTATTTTTTTGAATAATAGCAAATTGCAAACTCCTGTCATATAAAATTATACAGGCAACATCATAACAAGGGTGGGAAGGGTCCAAGTGCAAGGAAAACAAAACTTTTCCACCCATTGGATCATGATGATAGCTTTCGAATTTGAAGTTTGAATACATTTTCTAGGTTAGTGTTAAACTCATTTGGGGCTATTAAAGGTTTCAAAGTTTAAACCTATTTGGGGTTATCAGAGGTTTCAAAGTTAACCTCTCAAGTGAGCTTGGCTCTTTCCCTCCATTGTGAGCTTGACCACTGTTTAAAAATTCACGGCTTAGCTGTTGGTGTGTGGACTGCTTCGTAACATTTAGTTGGTAGAATTTCATTTACAGGTGCAAAGTCAAAGTGAAAAAAAACAAACAAACAAACAAAACGTGAGAATTATGAGGGGATTAGCTTCTGGTTCTTTGGTTTGTTCGCGGGTTCGTTGACAGTGAACAATTACCTCTTTTTACGTATCTTTTTTGTTGTTATTTTAGTTTTTTTCCATAGGGTTATTTCAATACAGGTAAAAAAAAAGTGAGACTAGACCCCAAAAGTAGTTCGTGACAGATAGCTATTCCTGACGCGGAGTCTAAGGTCTTCGAAAAGGCATAGAATGATTTTGTTTAAAGTAGAAATTTTCTAATAGTTGTAACCCTGCAAATCAGTTGTCAATTCTACAGGAGGGAAAGTGTTGAAAGGTCATATGCATAACTTTTCTAGATGAAATTTAGAATTGCGTTTAGAATTCAAGACATAATGGTGACCTCACACACGCTTATTTGACTTCAAGTCCACTTTAACAACCACAGAATCGTTGCAGAATTTCGTCAAATAATTGATAGTTTTGATAGAATAGTAGGAACTTTTATAATTAGTTAGAATAAAATGAGAGTGTAAAACATGTCCCTGGTCTTGGTTTAAAATTGCGACATTCAGTTTTTTTTTTTCGGTCTTTTTGTTTTTGGTTTGGCACTTTAGTAGCGCCATGCAACAGAGTGAAGGCCGTCGAAAGCTAGTGGGTATTCTCTGGTTTTTGATTGGGGCCACTATCACTTTCCCACTGACGAAGGACTAACGCTCGAAGTATCAGCTTTAGGAACTCTTTACGGTGGCCAATTTACGATATCAACTTAGTTGATAAAACCAAATTAACTTGTCACTAAACAGTAGCCACAGAGCTAAATCTTCGCTGCACCCATGTGCTCTATGTGTCTTCTGTTACGGCGTTACGAACGTGCATGCCACGAAGCAAACGCATAGGGTAATGTGAAGTTTACGGGAGCGTTTACGCTAAGAATTTCGCCGAAGACACCCAGCTATAGACGTAATGTAAAAGACGTTGGCATGGACTCGTGGGCCTTGGTTGGCAAGACCTTACCGCCTTTGGTGTGGTGTTCGTTTATTTACAAAATCAATTGATCGACTTTTCTCATCATTCGTGCGAAATGAATTTTTTTTAAATGATGGGTCTTTTCTCTCAAAAAAGGAGATAGATTTTATCATTCAAAATCGTGCAGTCACGATCTTTCATGGATCAATCTGCAAACAGGATTTCGCTTTACGAAACGTTCCTTTGGTCTCATTTCTTCCTGTCCTGAGAACGAGTTTGGATCTTGCGTGACCTCTGTTTCTGTGAGAAGACTCAGGACCCCTGTGGCCATTTAAATATGTCACGCAAAAATCTGCAGCCACAAGTTCAGCTTATTGGCGTCACATGCAAAGCTACAGCATGCTGAAAATCTGAAATCTGGAGATGTTTTATTAGATTTGACCAAGTTCTGTTATCATGCTGAAGCGCTTTATGCTGATGTATATCCTAAATTGTACAAAAGCAATGTTGGAGAAAACTAAACGTAAAACGACACCAACAGTAACACTGAAGGGACGAATCAAGTGATAGGTGGTTGAAGAATTCACATGATATACATCCCATCTTTAAAGGCAGACGTAGCAAACTATACGAGTGATCGAGGTGCCCTCCAATTGTAAATCAAAATGAAAAGGATTGGAAGGTCAAACTGACCGATCAGGGGTCCCCTGAGCGTAAGCGTTCTCGTTCTTTTAGGGCGCGAATACATGGCCTGCTGTCAGTGGATCAAAGTCCGTTGATGTTGTTGTTGTTTTCATTATTCCTTGTTCTTCCGTTCTGTTTGATTTCCCACCGGAGTTACCCGGTTTTAAGAACCCTGGGGCATCTTTCTCGGGAGACCATTGAATGCAAATAATGTAACCATTAGTTTGAAATTCAACCTCTTTCCCATGGTCTTTTGTCACTCGCTCTTATAAAAGAAAGAGATGGGATCCTGGGAACAAGGTTGTCTGAGAACTTGGACAATGTCGGACGAAAGTAAAGTAAACGAAGGGCAATTGACCCTGATACGTCCAGTAGTCGACATGGATGAGGCAGTTCGTCTAGCTTGTACACTGTATGGCCTAAAATTATCAGATATCTGTCATGTCAAGGAATTTGAAGGTTATGATGATCGAAATTTTTACTTGAAAGGAACGCTTCCACATCACGTAGATTTTGCACATGACCGGCTTAGACAGAATGGAGATGAATTCGTTTTGAAGATTCTAAACCACGTGGATTCCCAAGACATTGTTTATGTGCAAGGGCAGAACGAAGCTTTGTTATTCCTAAAAGAAATGGGATTTAACTGCCCTGCTCCGATTAAAGCTTTAAATGGTGAATATGCTGTCACTTGCGCAATTAAGTGCGGGAATGCAGAGACAAGCGATGGCAACAAACAGCTTGAGCGAATTCATGTCGTTCGACTTCTTAGCTTCGTTCCAGGGAAGCTTCTCGTGGATGTTCCTTACAAGGCTGAACTTCTCTTCTCTCTGGGTTGCTATACCGCCAAGATGGATAAAGTACTACAGGTATTTGATTCACCTTAAACTCGTTAAAAGACCACGTGGCGTTTATTAAATTTACTCAAGAGTATTATTAGTAGTAAGGGGGTGATTAATTTTTGGGAAGATATGCATAATTTTGTCCATGGTACCCAAGCCTTTGACAGAAGTACTATTGTAGACATTTGCTGCTTTATTAAAATGAAACATTTAATACCTTCATTATGAAATTACTGCTGATCCTTGCAATCTGATTGGCTCTCATTGGTGTGACTCATCAACAAATCACACCATTTTTTGCTCTTAAACACATTTTTTCTTAGCCAATGAGAAAGCTTCACTAAAAATAAACAATCAGATTTCAAGCCAGAGTAACCAATTGCATTGCAGGAAATGAAAGATAAGACTTGCAATTCACAAACCAGCATAGTACTTAATTAATAAAATATTTGTAGGGAATAAATAATCATGTCTTTTAACAATTTAATTTGCAATTTCAAAGATTAGTGTCTTTACTGATATACCCCTTGAGGAGTGTATTGACTTAGCGGTCAATTACATTTCCAAGGGCAATTCCATCAGTAAGTTAAGCAAATCTGAACTTGGAAGCCTCTTCACTACAGCTACCACCCAGACTCGTTTCATATTTTATTCTTTCTATGATCAAATAGATGGCATAGCCATGAGGTCTCCCCTTGCTCCTGCCTTAGCTAATCTTTTTATGGGACATCATGAAAAACTTTGGCTGAAAAATTTTAATGGCTCTACAATTTTATTTTATTGCTGGTATGTTGATGATACTTTTTGCTTATTTCACTCAGAGCACAATACCACTAAATTTTTTGACTATATCAATTCTAGGCACCTCAACATCAGGTTCACTATGGAAAAGCAGGTTAATCACAAATTACCCTTTTTAGATGTCCTGATTGACAACAATGACCCCAATTCCTCTCTAACCAGTGTTCACCACAAGAAAACTTTCACTAGGTTATTAACAAATTATTTCAGCTTCATCTTGTACTCTTACAAAGTGGGTCTCATTAAGACTCTCGTTGATAGGGCCTACAAGGTTAATAACACCTGGTTAGGGTGTCATGAGGACATTAACAAGCTTACTGATATTCTAAAAAAGAATCTTTTCCCTGCCCATTTAATTGAAAAGATTATAAACCATTACATCTCTGGGACCCAAAGCAATCATTATTCCTGGGCTTCCCTTCCCTTTACTTTAAGCTACCCTACATAGGCCACTTTCCTGCTATCACTCCAAAAAAGATTTGCCATTTTATAAA